CACACACACACACACACACACACACACACACACACACACACACACACACACACAAACACACACACTCACACTCTGTGATGCTGTGCCCCAGGCTGGCCGCCCTCTCCATCTGCCCCACCTCCTGTGCCCACAGCTCAACTTTGATCAGCCTTTTCCAGAGACAGAGGCTTGCATGTGCGAGCTGTGTGTTTACAGAGTAAGAGCGTTTGCATACACACGTTTACGCAATCAAAGACATGTTGCTTCTCTCAGCCATGTTGTGTGTTACAACTGCATCTCCCCTCCAGCTCTAGATTGATGCTTAGGATCAATCGATGTGTGTGTGTGTTTTGTGCAGCAGAAGCACCAGCTGTTTTTTGCTGTTCGGTTTGCTGAGATGCTAGATGAGCAGCAAGTCATTGTGTGACAAGGCTCCGAGGGGACTTTAGGCCTGAGTTGTGGAGGATGGAGGCGCGTGTGTGTTAGTTTCTGAAGCCACTTCCTGTCATGCTTTTCTCCGTTTGCTCTCTCTCCGTGCTTCCCTCATTCGTCAGTGAGCCGGGTTGCGACCCTGTCTGAGGGAACAGTCTCTTGGGCTGCTTGCCGAGCGTCTCTTGAAAGATCACAGCGCAGGCTGTGTTTGAGGAGGTCTCATCTCAGCCTATTGATCCCTGCCTCTACTTCGTCTGGTTCCCTCTCCTCCCCTTGACTGTCTGTGTTTAACTCCGTAAACACCACCCCCCCCTTCACTGTAGTTTAAAGCTCCTTTCTCTCATTTTATCATTTTCCCACCTCATCTTTCTGTCTCCGTGTCGTCACCTCGACCCTCTCATATGCTCCTTTCCTCCTCATCCATCCATTTTTTCTGCTTAAATATCAACAGGATCTGTCAAAGTGCAGCCAATCTTTCTGTTTGTTTCCTCTAAGAGCAGCGCCATAAACTGATGATTAGTGTTCACAACTAACAGTTTTAGACTCATGACCACTTGTTTTTTTAATGCCTGGCTGGAGGGGACTGCTTGTATACCTGACATGTGTTTTTACTGCAACTATTTGTGGTCATGGTTGTGTGGCGCAAGCATCTAAATGTTTCATTTATCTTAATTTATTTTTGTTTCGGCTCTGTTTAAAAGCAAACCAAAGTGTGATTTTTGTATAATGTAGAGAAAATATGAGAAGAATGTATCAGACTGACAGCTGTAAACAAAACGAAGCACTTTTCTTTGCTACAAGCTGTAACGAGACTTTATTTTTGAAAAAAAAAGTATACTGTACAAAGACAAATGCTGATTAATTTATGGTTGTATTTTATAGTGTGCCTGCTGATAGTGTGGTGAAAATATTGTGAAGTAGGTGTATGCCTGCCCTTATTTTCTAAGATGTGTCTTTGCCTGCAATGTTCTCTGCCTGTAATATTATTTTTTGTGCCCCGCCAATGACATTTCCACAGTTTGTGAGAAAGGGCAAATCGTTGCATATGTCTCATTTGATTAATGAATAGCATATTATCTATGTGGCTTATTTTGGGATAAAAAGAACATAAAAAACAGATTAAATATTTTTTATTAAGTTCACAGTGTGTGGATTATTGACGTCAACATGTTTATATTTCAAGGTAAAACATATTTCAATTTGCACATTTTTTTGTGCAAAAAGAAAAATATCACTATATTAAAAGTAAAGTAAAAAAAGTTTTTTTTTATTGCTAGTATACCTTCACAGTCATTCTTACAAAAGGCCTTTAACTACCTTAGCAGCAGCATTTCTCCTAAGAATCTATCTAGTGCTTGGAACATGTTAACAGATTCCCACAAAGTGTAAGTTGAAGGTAAATTATGTTGAAGCAGTTTTTGTAATTCAGTGAGGTATTAGGGGAAAAGGGAAACAAAACTTTTTGAACTCCCTACTCATCTGTGTCACACATTGAATTTTTGGAAAATGTCCTCCTGAGGTGGGATTGTGAATGTGTCCTGAATCTGATACATCTCAGTAATCAGGTAGAAAAATAAAAAAAATAAAATAAAAATATTAACATATAGACCTATTAATATAAAAATTAATAGGTCTCTCCTCCAAGAGACTTCTTCAGTCTGCAGAGTTCCAATGGTGCAGGCCATTGCTGAGCAAATTTACTAACATGATGAGAATCAAGAAATGCAAAAACACTTGTCCTTGTCTCAAACTGAAGCATCAGTTCATACTGAACCAATCTTTGTAAAAGAAAAGACTCCAGAATGTCATGACAATAAAATCTTCACCTGTTAATTATGGGAGTGGACTATTCATGGCTCACATTACAAAAATGGATTGAACTCGTGCAAAGAAAACACCATCTAAATAAAATCATAATCTGATCTCGACACACAAAACCAAGATTTGCAGAAAACAGCAAAAAGTATAAAAGTATTTATATTACTTTTCAATTTAAATGTTTATACCTAAATACCTCTTGACTTCTGCTTTAGATGTTAATGTGTCTAACATTATAAAAGTAAAGGTAAAAAAAAAAACAATTTTGCATTTATTCACTGAAAAAGTTGAACATTACAAAGAAGGCAACATTGTTGAAAAAACTTAATGTTCTTTGCAGAAATTATTTAAAATCACAAGGTTTTGGTGTAACCTGAGGGCAACATACTGATGAGCACAATTCAGGCTGATGAGGTGTTTACTTCTAGTCGAGGTACTTTAGGGCCTTGCTAAATCACATAAGCATGCAGTTGACGGTTTCTCTTTTGCTAACAATATATGACATGTGGTGACATTCATTTTGCAGGGTATCAATCTTTCTTCACAGATCAGCAACTAGAGCTTCACCGCATGACCTCAGACTCTCCAGCATCTTCATTAAGAACGTAGTGTTTTCTCCTTTGCACTCTTTCACATCCACAGACACCTGCTCCTGGTGCTTCCCTTGGCTGAGCTCCAACACTGTCTCTACATCTTCCACCAGCCTCACTGCCCGCTGATCCGTCCAGCCCACCGTCACTTTTTGGAGCGAGCACGTCTCCAAGGCTCTGACCAGCTTGTAGACCAGGCTGTGGGGCTTGTCATTGGGCAGAATGAGGCCAGGCAGACCCCGCTCCAGCTGGTAGGAGACCACGAGGTGGCCCAGCAGGCCGGACCCAGCTTCCAGGAGGGGAAGGTTCAGGACCTGCGTCTCTTTGTTTCTCCGGGTCGAGTCTCCGACCTGCGCGCTGCGGAGGAGCTCCTCCTTCTGACCCGGCGCAGACACCAGATCCAGCGGAGACGGTCGTGCTCCATCAGTCTGCTGCAGAAGAATAGAGCCTGGTGGGGACAGAGGTGATCAGGATCAGAACAATTAGAATTGTTTTTCCTAATCAGACTTCCTATAAACGCAAATCAAAATGGCTTTATGAACTTCATTGTGTTTGGTGCAAACTAAGGAAAAACAGAAGAAAACTTGAAAAATGTTTCACTTTTATGAGTAGCATTCACACATACAGGTGCTGGTCATAAAATTAGAATATCATGAAAAAGTAGATTTATTTCAGTAATTCTATTTAAAAAGTGAAACT